TGTGGTGTTTGCGAAGCTGTATCAAAGCTTCTATGCATGTGGAGGAGATTAAACAGATAGCTGGGGCAGCGACATTAGCCATTCCTATGTAAATCATTTCTGTTAGCAAGCCAGAACCATCAGTGTGCCTAGCTATTGCTGTTTGGTAGAGCAAGCAGTGACTTTCTACCTTGTAGTAGCGTGAGCTTTTCCAATCACATTCCTGCGTCCTTAACCAACTCTGCTGTAGGTAGGTGCTAAACTTCAGGCTGAGCAGTTATTCCAAAATATTCTTTTGGAAAGAGGGGACTTGTGGTCCTCTGAATTGCCGTAGTACATAGTATACATGAGTACCTTCCCTCCTCCCTGTTTGTCTTCTCAGTTGTTCAGGAGATATGTACAGAGCTTTCTTGTTTTTTTTTTTTTTTTTTTTTTTGCACTAGGTGTTGCAGAAAGCCTCCCAAGCACAGATCTTGACTGATATGTATAGTATTTTGCTAGTGTGCTTGCAAAACTCACACCCTCATTTATCAGCTAATGTGAAATGCTGAATTCTGGACTTGAGTAAAGAAGGCTAATGTTCATTTTGTGGGTTAGGATTATTAGGTATTGAAACAGAGACATGAAATTATTCTAGTCCCACACAGAAAGGGGAGGGGGGGGGTGCTTTATGAGATGGTACCACTAATAGAGTCAGTACAGAACAAATTTCTTTAGAGCATGATTGTTAAATTGCTTGGATAATTAAAAGCCGTGATGGATAAGATGGGACACAGTAGGAAAAGGTTAAGTATTTAACTCAGATTTTTGATTAGCTTGGTTCACTGTGAGATAAATGCTACTTGCATGCAATTCGTTAACATTATTTCTAAAATGTGTTTGAACAGACAGTGAATAGTGGCTATTTCGTACTGATAAAAAACAAAAAGCTAAATTTCTATGACATTTATGTGGGCCAGCTCTAGTCAAAAAGAAGTAGGCACTGAGTTAAAATATAAGCACTGTAGAATCTGTATAGTTTTGACCATACAAGGGGCTAGCTGACTGGTTAATGTCTAGCATCTATGTACATTCCTGTACTACTAGATACCTATTTTTATCCTTTGTTAAATTTTTCTAGGAGTGACACCACAGCAGTCCCAAAGAAAATCACTAAGAATAGTTTCCCAAATCTGTTCTCACTTTTCTTTGCATAATGTTATGTAAATCTTAAATTTCTCTTTCGTTTGGGATAAAGATTATCCCACTTCTACTGACTGCAGCATATGCTCCCCTATCAAAGATAAAGTTTCTAGCAGTTTGACAGTCCTTTTGCTTTTTTTTCTTCATTCTTAGTGATTGAAAAAAACAGACTGAATCCTCCCTAATTTTCAGCCAAAAATGACACTGTGCAATGATGAACTTAGCCATGTTTGAATGCCCATATTCTGCAGTGAAATATAGGTGGATATAGCCCATGTGCAGAGCCCTGCATAGCCTGCCAGCAGTTGGTGTCACACTGCCTTGGCAGGGCTACCTCACTGCTGTTTGTCTCAGCAGGCACATCTCTCCAGGTAGATGCAAAGCTGAAAGTCGCAGGATCTGTGTAGCTAAACCAATGCCTCACATAGCCGGTTTGGAACCGAAATCTCTGCCTGCCCAAATGGATATGCCAGGTGTGTTCCAGGAGCAGGACTGAGGAATTAAGTTATTTTTCATACTAAAGAACTCTGCCATTTGAAGCTTTGTCACATACCAGCAGTCAGCTGCTTCTCCAACTAGTATGCCACATTCTGCTTTTATTCACAGCACCGTAAATCCAAAGGTCTGCACTCTTGCTCTTTTTTCTACAGAGGACAGAGCTTGGATCATCATTTCTAAAGCTGAAAGGCTGTGGTATTCATTCAGCCTGCCACCTAAGCCTTTTTAATGGAAATGTCAATCTGTAATAGTTTGGGGACATATTCTGACACCACCTTTTAATTTTGATCTGATTCTGCAAGTCAGCCCATTGAGTGACTTTCTTAAGTGAAATCAGAGAGTAATTTGAGCCTGACAGGATTGCCTATAATTTGCCATTTAGTAGACCAGAACTAATAAGAATAGTGGGGTATTTACTGCATTTTCTGTCCTTTCAATTTCCATCTGTCTGTGTAGGAGAGAGTGTGCTTCAGCACACTTGGGATAAGATTTTACTTGGTCTGAATTGTGTTATTCTGTTTTGTTCACCTGACATCAGTTTACAGTAAGTGAAAAACTGCCTTGGAATATTTTTCCCCATCTGAGATTATCTCCTAATAGAGCGGGAGGATATTATAAATCTGCCTTTGTTTAGTTTGTACTTAACTGCCTCAATCAAACAATTGAGATTGTTCTACATCAAAGGTGAACTTCTGTAAAATGGAATGTAAGTACATTCCAGCATTAAGAATAATGGTTTTGCTCATCTTTTCTGCAGCAATATGAGAATTGGCGACCAAACCAGCCAGATAGCTTCTTTTCTGCTGGAGAAGACTGTGTTGTTATAATATGGCACGAGAATGGGCAGTGGAATGATGTACCGTGCAATTATCACCTTACATATACCTGCAAGAAAGGAACAGGTACAAACTTTGCAGTAACAATACCTTTAGTAACCATATTTTTCTAAAATCCAGTTTTGCAAAGCTAGAAGGACAAATTCTAGCTGATGCCTGGTGACTGACACAATGATCCCACAATTGAGTTCACCCCACAAAATCACCCTTCATCTGTAGCTACGTATTACGTGTGTCTCTAATCTGTTCTTGTCAGAACAAAATTTTGGTAGACAGTTAGAACAGGCAGAGGTCCACTGGTGTGTAGTTAGTTTTTCAGCTTCAGTTGGCCATACTTTTCCCCTATACAGTTTAATGGCACCACTGGAACCTGAAAAACACATTTGGTTTATATAATGTTAGAACCAATAAGTACATGAAACCTGGCAGTTCCCAGGAGCTATATACATTGACACCTTAGGAATTCCCTGCCTCTCTGTAATGTGAAAGCAAAAATCCAAACCAAATTCTTTTATGCCTCCATTGCTGTCCACTTTTGTTTACATTTTATTGCCAAGTTCCTTCTACCTTGATGGATCCATCAGTTTTAAGTGTTTTTACATATTCTGTCACTACAGAAGACATTTAAAGTTTTACAAATCAGATTAAAAAAAAAAAAAAAAA